GTCCATGGCTTTTCACACTCTCACCCTCCTCCACAACACTCGCTACTGCTGCACATGCATTCAGCGGTGTAGCAATGAAAAAGGTCCAATATGAAACAGGACTTTGGCGCGCACGTTCCAAGGTTTATAAAAACCGGTGTACTGAAAATTCATATAACAAAAATAAAAACCGGTTTTCGGTACAAAACGGTATACCGCCCAGCATTAAACTGTTACATTATGTTCTGCTCAGATCACATTGAGCTAAATAAGATCAAATCTGCTGACTTGTGTTGTAAAATGAGACGTTTTCCTGTTTATCTTCTGTTAATAAATTCATAACACAAACAGCTTTTCTGACATTATTTAAAACATTAGATAGATTATATAAACTGTAAAATATTAATAATAACTGGATTAATAATATTATTAAAAGTTTTAATGATTTCTACATCATCAGTCCTTTTTTTCTGCTCTGTTGTCAACATGTACTGTAATGGAAAATCCAGGCTCTTGACAGTTTGGCGTTGGCCGTTAGCTTCTCCAGCCGATCACACGGTCACATGGTTTTTGCGCACTCCAGTTCTGTAGAAACTCCTTGGGTTTTTCTCTTGTGCATCATCTGATAACCATGAAAACATCCTGGTCCCTGATGAAGTTTATCATGAGCAGGATCACTTCAGTGTAAATGCCTGCTGTGCTGCAGTTGGGCCAGCTGTCTCCTTAAATTATAAGTGCTGATTTTGGCAGCACGATGGATCAGTGGTTAGCACTGATGCCTCACAGCAAGAAGGTCACGACTTTGATCCCGGGGTCGGACCTGGGGTCTTTGTGTGTGGAATATGTATGTTCTCCTTATGCTTGTGTGTTATCTATGATTGCTCCTGTGTCCCTCACAGCACAAAAAATATGTACAACAGGTTGCTTTTAGGCCCTGTGATCAGTGCATTGATTTATGCAGGTTCTTCACGATCTGACATTTTCATCTCGAGTTTCTTCTTGGCAAGTTTCAAGAACACTGAGACACTGATCATGATTCAAGAAAATATAATCATCTCATTATCTTGAGAAAACAAACATTTTATTTTGTGAATAACTTCTTATCTCGAGAAAACCGTGGGAAAAAAATTATAAGCAGAAAACATCCGCTCTCGTCTTCCACAGAAGACTTATCAGGTTCTGGGCTTCTTTGTTTCGAAGCGTAAATGTTTCGATTTTATTATTTGTAAATGTGAATGTTTTATAAATGAACCATAATTTTTATGCCTTTACTTTTTTTGATGAACACAGAGTGTCAGCCGTGTCAGAAGGACTGGGTTCTGTTCAGGAACAGCTGCTACCTGTTCTWTAAAGATTCTGCTTGGAAAACCTGGGAGCAAAGTCAACAGTTCTGTCAGAGTCAATCATCAGATCTGGTTGTTATTAATGATCTGCAGGAACAGGTGAGCTTTAACACAAACATCACAACTTAACGACAAACATTTTAAATGAGATCATCTGAGTGTAAAAGTGTACCTATTGATTATCTGAATAATTTATTCACAGGAGTTTGTCAGTAATCACTCAGAACCATACTTTGACAATGTTCATGGATACTGGTTGGGTCTGAGGAACATTAACAACATCTGGGTTTGGGTCGACGGACACAACGACACTCTTGGGTAAGAAAATTTCTGAAAAATAAAACTATTGTAATCTTTTCATTTCTTGGTCCTATTGTACATCATCATCATCATCATCGTCATCATCATCATCATCATCATCATCATAACATTTTATTTTAAGTATCTGCAGCTGTTTGTTACTTTATAGGGTCATTTTACAGTAAGTGATGTTTGTGTTTTTATTTAAAGGTACTGGGTGACTCAGGAGATTGGTGCTACAGGTTCATRTGTTCTGCTGATGCCTACAGGTCCAGATGATAAACTGAGTCTCC